AATAGGCTCAGAAGGGGTTTCTTGGCCTTACCTAAGACCACACATGAGTCAGGAGTCAGAGCCAGGGCTACAATCCACGGGACTGGACATCTGGGGGTCTGCACCCTGTGTAATGAGGGACTGTGGTGTCACTGTGACACTGGTTCTGTGGGCAGTCCTCCTGGCTCCACGCTGGCCTCACCTCTCTCTGGCCTCCCTCAGCAGCAGGCCAGGTGTCTGGCCCTCTGAGGAAACGCTGTTTCCTCCTTGCTCACGTGCAGTCTGTGACCACCACTCTCATGTCACTGTCCTGGTCTGGGGGTGGGTCTATGTGAGGGTCATCTAGCTGGCTGGCAGGACATTTCTGCAGCTGCACTGCATACCCAGGGTCTGATTTTGGATTTAGATCCACATGTTGGGCTGGAATGCTAATTGGTGAATTTACAGTTGGTCCTTAGAATCCTTTGCCAAAGGACTGACAAAGGGCAGGGTCCTAAACATTCCATGAAAAGAAAACACTGAGACCACATTTCCTATTCTCTGTCCCTTGTCAAGGCTGGTCAGTCTGTCCACTGATACTTTGTTGCTGTAGACAAGAACCCATCATGGAGTGTCAGGACTCCGAGGAGCTTTTCTGATTGGCTAGGAGTCTTTGTTCTTTGTAAAGGTGCTGATTTAAACCCTATACAAGTTTGTAAAGCAGTCATATTTTGGGGTGACTCAGGCAGCCTGAGCCTCACAGAGTCCTGGGGAACTCGGTACCGAGGAACAAGGGCTGAGCAACGCCCTGAGGAAAGGAAGGCAAGGAACATTGCTCCCCTTGAGTTTCTGCTTTGTCCCCCGAATGCACCGCGGTCTCTCCCTGGACTTAGCAGAGGTCTGAACGCTGGTAGCTGAAGCCACTGAGAGGTTCAGGGGTCCAAACCTCGGCTACCGGAATCTTAGGCGCTGGTTGCAGAAATGGAACTTGCTCCTTCCAGCCCTCTGGGCCCAGGGCCCACAGCTCTGGGGGCTCACGCTGCAGCAGGCCAGGCAGTGGGTGTGTGAGGGGCAGGAGGTGGGGTGGGGAAATGCGCTGAGTTGGCGTGGCGGGGGCGGGGCCAAGCGTCACGGATCGCAGTGCCCCAGGACAGCCTTGATAAGGTCACACCTCAGCTCCTTTGACGCTGGTCAAGTGAGACAGCGGGAACGTGCACCATGGCCATGACCCTGGGTTACTGGGACATCCGTGGGGTGAGCAAGGGGTCCGACTCCTCTGGTGGGACGAGGGTTGGTGGCTAGGAAGTGCTGAGCAGCTCAGGGAACGATTCTAGAGGATTCCTCTTTCAGGCTTTGCTGGAACTGAGCCCCAACATGCAGCCTGGGCCCCTCCAGGCTGGGTAATTTGGGCCATGGTGGGTGGGGAGGGGGCATAGTGAGAGGCATCAGGAAAAAGCTTTGTGGGGTTTTCTCGCCTGGGTGAGGAGAGGGGAGGGTGGCACTCGCTTACTTGAAAGAGATGAAATCCGGCAGGCAGAATCCCTCCATCTCTGAACCCTTCCCGGCGCTGTCTCTCGCAGCTAGCTCATGCCATCCGCCTGCTCCTGGAATACACAGACTCAAACTATGAGGAAAAGAAGTACACGGTGGGGGACGGTAATGGCACCCTTGGGTTGACCCCTTTGCCAACTAATGCTGATTTGGTAACAAGCAGTCGTTGCCCTGGCTGCCTGTTGCCCACCTCTGCAAAGCCTCCATCAGCTGAATATGAGGCCTGGCCCTTTCCAGGTTCCTTTTGGCTGTGCTGCTCTGGCCTGCCCACTCAGGATACTGGGAGGGAATTGCTGCCCCCACACCTTATCATTAATTGGAATCAAGTTCCCCCTTAGGGCTTGTCTAAACCTTTTGTAAACCTTATTCCTGGGAGAGTGAGACATAGTAGTTCTGTCAGATTCCGGATTCACCTGTCTCAGGGTGTCTTGCAATGATTCTTGGTATAGTTTCTGGAGAAGGAATGTTGGACTACAAGGAGGTTTGTTTTCATTTCGTTGTTTCCACCATAGCTCCTGACAATGTCAGCAGCCATTGGCTGAATGAGAAATTCAAGCTGGGCCTGGACTTTCCCAACGTAAGTGCAGGGTGTGGGGTAAAGTGAAAGATGTCTGTCTCTCCTTTCCCCAGCCTGGAGGTTTTAGGATCAGGTGCCTTCTGCTCCACCTCTCTCATTCCTGGTTCTCTTCACTGCCTTTCCATTCTGTTCCATGTTCCAGATAATGCAAGCTCTGTACGTATATTTACTTAGTGCCCACCATGGGGTTATGGGTACCATGGGCCAGGCCTGAGTGTGCCAAGTCCCAGTCTGACCTTGCTCAGGGGATGGGGGTGCTGGGGAGCCTGATGGTACAACAGATCTGCCTGGTTGCCGTTGTAGCTGCCCTACTTAATTGATGGGGCTCACAAGATCACCCAGAGCAATGCCATCCTACGCTACATTGCCTACAAGCACAACATGTGTGAGTGGGGCTGGGGGCGGGTGTGGGGGCCCAGTAGTCCTGGTGGCTGTTCCCTGGGTTTGGCTAGGGTTGGATGCTGAGAGTGAGTGTCTGATATGTGGGCTGCAGGTGGGGAGACAGAAGTGGAGAAGATCCGCATAGACATCTTAGAGAACCAGGTTATGGACACCCGCGTGAATTTTGTCATGCTGTGCTACAACCCTGATTTTGTGAGTTCCTGTTGGTATGGGACTGGGCAGGGTTTGGACTGGGAGTCAGGACTCTTGCATTCCCATTTACAGTGCTCCTGTTTGTCCTTTGAATCCTTAGAGCTAGGGATCCTCCAAGGGGTCCCCTATACTACTGCCAGAGTGAGCTTCATAACCCTAAAACTCCTCAAATGAAAACTCTAAATCAATCCCCTTTAATAGGATAAAGCCTAGAGTCCCCAGTGTGGAAATTAAGTTCCTAAACAATGTGTTCAACTAGGATTCCTCGTGTCTTTCCCTTGATATTGATAGTCTTCTCATATATCCCAAAATTAACCACACATTGTCACCACAGAGTCTGTTTCTGCCGGAATGCCCTCCTCTCCCTCATTTTTAGCATCTCAAATTCTCCTCATCTTTCAGGAAACTACTCAGATGTCCTCTCTGTACTTGTGCCACCCCATGAGGTAGAACTTCCCATTCTTTCCTTGAGCTCTTGTAGTTCTTGTTCCTTTACATATGAGTCTTTCACTTAGTCAGAGGATCACGGCACTCCTGGGTCTGACTGATAGATGGGTTGTTGGAGATCAGTGGTGATAGATTCACGTCAGTGTCGTTTTCCTCTGGGCCTTCTCATGCCTCTCACAGATGGAGCTGATATGTAGTCGGGGTCTAATAAATACTAGTTGATTAAATGGAAGCATGGACGCTGGCCGAGGGGCAGTCCACGGGGGATGCTGCCTCATCCGTGGACATCTGGGTCATCGCAGCAGTGGGGGAGCAGCCTCTCTGCCCAGGGAGTGGGGTCTGAGGGTGGTGACAGCTGTTTTCTGCCCCAGGAGAAGCTGAAGCCACAGTACTTGGAGGAGCTCCCTGACAAGATTAGGCTCTTCTCACAGTTCCTGGGGCAGTGGCCATGGTTTGCAGGGGACAAGGTAAATGGGGAAAGACACAGGGACACAGGGTTGGCATTCCTCCCAGATGATGGAGCTTCCCATCCACTCATCCTTGGCTTTCTGCAGATCACCTTTGTGGATTTCCTTGCTTATGATGTCCTGGACTTGAACCGTATCTTTGAGCCTAAGTGCTTGGACGCATTTCCAAACCTAAAGGACTTCATGGCCCGCTTTGAGGTGAGTCCCCTGATTCCCCTTCCTGTTTGATGTTCCTTTTTCTTTCTCCTTTCTCCATGACACTTTCCTAGTTTGGGAGCTAAAAACAACAATACCTAGCATTTATGGAGCATTGTGTTTATACCAGGACCTGTGCTAAGCACTTTACGTACATTGTGCGAGATTTAATCTTCATAACATTACTACAAAGTAGATAGAATTATCATCCCCATGTTACAGATGAGGAAACTGAGGCTGAAGGTGGTAAGGAGTTTGCTCAAGGTCACAGAGCCAGTAGTGGCTGCGCTGGGCTTCTTGTCAGCTTCTATGGGCAGGAGTTGGTGGCTCTCCTTCTGTGCTGAAAGGGAAAGCTGAGGCCCTTTTCCTGCCTGAGTTTCACAGCCCAAGGAAATACGGATGAGGCAGAACTTGAGTGTGTATGTAGCTGGCAGTAGTAGGACTGAGACAAGGTTGGATTGCTGGTAAGTTCCAAAGACACAGACAGTATTTGTACTTGACTCCCAGAAAGCTTTACACCAATCCAGTCCACATTGTGGGCAAGTTCTGAAGTTATCAGGTCAGTAGAGGTGCTGGGGTTTGAGTATTTATGTGGGTGCCCCTGTGAAGGATTTTATCTTGAGGTGTTCTATGGAGGGACAGTGTCCTTACCTCTACTCTTCTGCCCTTTCTTCTTCCCCATTGTCTGAAGTTTTCCATCTCTGAGATGGGTTAGTACATTTATGTTAACTCATATTCACTGATGGTATCCTGTGGGTGAGGCACTGGGTCAGGCACAGTGTGGCCTGCAAAGATGGCCCTGTCCTGGAGCCCACCCTCCAAGCTCAGTGTGGTTTCATAACTACAGCTACAGCAGGTGTGTGGGGCATGTGGTGCCAACTGGGTTGTAGGGGAACACAGCCTGGACCCCACCTCACAGCCAGTCATCCATCACACATAGGCAACTGTTTTGAGAGTAACCCAATGTACTTGATTACAGATTTGAGAATTTGAGGCAGTCGCCCAACAGCGTTTTCAGACTAGAGCTGTTGTTCCTTTGCCCCTTCCAGTCAAGAGATCTGCTCTGATTTCTTGGCCAGTTCTCATGAAGTTATGGTTCTGGTCCAAACTGAGCATCTTGGGGATGACACAAGGGCTAAGATGACTGTGAAGTTTCTCTATGGACTAGAGACTGCTTTCTGCTGGGGCTTGGTCCCATTGGGTTTAAGAAGGTCCAGATGTCTTTGAATCCTTTAAGGATTATCTATCCTGTGATAGCCCAAAGCACACCCTGAGTATCATATGGCCCGACACTTAGCTAGAGGTGAGATAGGTTGGGGCACATGAGATTGGGTTCATTTATCAGGCTGAAAAGCTTGGACTCTCTTCTGCAAGTGGAATAATTACAGCTTGACCTTGACCAGCGATGCTAGTCCAACTTCCCCAGTCAACCTGCACCCAGATTTGCTGAGTCATTCCGTGAAATCCTGACCTCTCTTGCAGGCCGCACAGGCATGTTCTGAGCCCCTTTGTCCTGCTCAGACCCCATTCTACAAGCAAACCCTGGGAAGGCAGGCTGGGATCTAGGAGCCTCCCTCTGCAAAGGGAGAATGTTTGTTCTACTGGAGTGAGATGTCCTTCTGTGGGGGAGGGGATGGAGTGCAGCAGAAGGTACCTGGGACTGTAGAGAGAGAGAGCCAGGCGGAATTCCAGCTCTGTCCTACGACTTACTGGGTGAGCAGGAGGAAGGGTAGTTGGGAGGATTTTCTAATCCTGTATTATAATCTCTGATGGATATAAAGCACTTAGCACAGTGAAGGGTCTCCACAGATGGGAGCTCCTATTAAGATACAGGATCAAAGGAAATTGGAAGAGTTAACTTACTGGGCCAGGTCAACATGAAGACAATCTTATGCCCCAGTACTCACCCCAAATGGAAGGACTGTTGCAGGGTCCCATGAGCTGGATGTGCATGTAGTAGAGTGTGTTAGAGCCCCCAGTGCAGCAGCAGACCCTGATCTCTGACCTTCTTCTTCCTGCCCTCAGGGCCTGAAGAGGATCTCTGCTTACATGAAGTCCAGCCACTTCCTCCCAAGACCTATCTATACGAAGCAAGCCATGTGGGGCAATAAGTAGTGTCTTTAATCCAGGAGATGGGAGCAGAAGCCTGCCCTGTGCCTGCTGCCCTGGGCTGGGAGAATACCTCCCCTAACCCCCCAGCACCATCCCTCTCCTTCCTTTTCCTTCTTTTCGTTCCATTCTCCTCCCCCATGGACTTGTTTGCCTTCTTTCTCCACCCCAGCCTCATCCCATCCAGGCCCTTAAAGCCTCAGCTCCCACTTCCCTTCAGCCAAGTCCCCCTCCTAACCACTCTTCGTCCCTGCACTGAAGCCAACCAGACCACCTTTCCCTCAGCGCTGCCTTTTCTCAGAGGAGCTCCTTCACCCCAGCCTGTAGAGCTCAGCCCTGAGCTCTCTGCTCTGCCTTGAGAGACTAGTGTGGCTGGTGTGTGGGCCCTGCTCCCATGGTCCCTGCCGCAACCCTGTCTGATCCCTAGGTGAAGGCTGAGCCACACCTGCTGTGTCATGTCCTCCTGGCTAAGGGACACAGGACTAACTCTGGTAGTGGTGGTGGTGGTTGGAGGAGAGGATGTCTTCCCTTTGTCCTCTGGTGTCCAACGCAGGGGCTGGGTGGATGGTGATGTGTGTGTATGGAGAGGGTTATAAGGTTTCTTGCTCATTTCTATTCCCTCCCCATATCCCTCTGTCCCTCACACGGGGATCTCTACCGAAGGGAGGCCCCTTCTGAGCCTGACACTCTCATTCATTCAGCTTTCATCAAGTTATGAGGGCCTGTGTGTGTGGTTCTGAGAGCACTGGGACAATGGGGAAGGGACTGAGCAGTCCACAGGGTGTGGGGTCCTGGTGGACTACCTCCTGTCACCCTCTTCTGGAAGCTTTCACTGATCCAGATGCCCTTCCTTTCTGTTCCCATAATAAATCTCAACGGCACATCCCACTGTATTGTAACTTGTTTTACCTGTTTTTCTGCCCAACTAAAACATAAATTCATGGAGGAGAGAATCTATGTCTTCTTTGACTTTTTATGTCTGATGTCTATCACAGTGTCTGACACGTAGTAAATATTGAATAAAATTTGGAAATTTGAAAGAGTTATCACCAGGCAAGGGCCTGGAGAACTCTCCAGTCATGTTTGGGATGTAAAGGTCTGGAGATAGCTATCTCTACCATCAAGAAATATAACAATGTTCACAAGATTTTAAATCAACATGTCTGGGGGAAGGAGCCACTAGCTCTTTCTAGCTTAAGTGGCTATAGGCTCTACCTGGTAGATGGAAAGCTTGACCCAAGATGGGCAGTCGCTGTTTGCTGGGCCAAAGTATAGCAGATCTGGGTGGTCAGGAAATGGTGTGGGCATTTCTATCAGGTTACCCGTAAAGGAGCAGGACTCATTGGAGATCCATGTGGCTGAGCAGCTTCCTCATAACATGGCCGGACTGTGGAGTTGGGCCTTGTTAAGGTATAGCCTTTAGTCTTGGCCCATAGCAGAGAGATGATTTGGAGAAGAGTCTTATTGGGGTTTGTTCGGATGGTCACGGCTTGCAATGCATGTCCTGCAGTTATTAAATAAAAAGGGAGCAAGAGGAGTAACGCTAAAAGTAGTGAAGAAGTCAATGATTGATTAAAAAACATAAAACTGGTAAGAGAAGGTCAGCAAAACTAGAAGTTTAGGAACTTGGTAAGACACAAGTTAGTTAAACTAAAAATTTATTAAACTTTAAAATCTATAAACTTAAAGACAGGATAAAAATATAAGTGAATAAAGTAATAGAAGTTAGTGTTAAAACTACGACAAAAGATAAGTAGCTAGAATGAACATATTCAGTCAGATTAACAGGTATATATCTAGAGTAAGCCAGACTAAACCCATTGCTGTCAAGTTGACTCCGACTCATAGCGACCCTATAGGACAGAGTAGAACTGCCCAATAGGGTTTCCAAGGAGTTGCTGGTGGATTCGAACTCCTGACCTTTTGGTTAGCAGCCATAACTCTGAAACACTGCATCACCAGGGCACCATATCTAGAGTAGGGTGTAGCAAATGTTTCCTCTAAAAGGTCAGATAGTAAAGCTTTTAGGCTCTGCAGGCCACACGGTCTCTGCCAATTGCACAACCCAGTCCTAGGGTGAAAACAGCCATAGACAATCCTTAAAGGAATGGCTGGGCTGCGTTCCAATAGAACTTTATTTACATAAACAAGTGGCTATAGTTGGCAGACTCCTGACCTGGAAGCTCAAATTTAAAGGTCATAACTATATAAAAGCTAAAATATTAGATATGAAATTAAAAAGGTGATTAATTGCCAAAGGAAAAAGAACAAAATGCATAAAAAGATGAAGACATAATAAATGAAGACAGTTTTTCAAATGAAGACAGTTTCTAAACATTGTGCTCAAATTATAATGTAAAAGATGAAAACATACATTTCAAAGTGTGGGGTAGAAGTAGCACATCTATGTGCTTCAAACAGAGGCAACCAAAAAAGATGAGTTATATTGTGGCCAGCATCTAGCAGAGGTCCCAAGACCTGGGGCTCCTTGGGGCTCCTCCAGTGCTCACACCCCATCAGTGAGTCTGTCCTTCTGGATGGGGAAAGGGGGACTCACGCTCTGTAAGCATGGCTGCCTGCATGGTGTCTCCTGCACTGATCTCTTGTCACTCATCATTAATTACAAGTTCCATGCTGAATATTCCCTACTATCAATGTATTAGTTAAAGAAAGATTAAGCTGAAGATTGACCCCAAGAACGTAGCTTATAGTAAGAAGTTGATTTTTCTTACATGTAACAGATCCATCGGGAGCAGTCCAGATTGGTGGGCAGCCCTGCTCCGTAAAGTTATTCAGGGACTTGGGTTCATTCCATCTGTGGCTCTGCCATCCCCTAGGGTGCTTTCTTATTTCCTTAGTTGAGTTTCTATCATGAGTTTGGGGAGAAAAAGAGAGAAAAATGCCCTACAAAGCACTTTTCTATCATACAAGTGAGGTGGAACAGCTCTCCATGTGATTGCTCATTGTCACACCCCTAGTTAATCAGATCTGGCTTTTCCTAATGGACTCCACTTTGTGGTGTGGTCTCATCAGCCCCTCATTAAAGTATGGTCCTGTCCAGAATGCCCAATGGCGCCTGCATTTCCTCCATTCTCTCTTCCAGTTCTATTCCCATTTGAAACAATTTTGGAAGGAACAGATAGGGTTTAGGTCACAGTTCAAAAAGAGTATCTGTGAATACAGCTGGAAACATTTCACCATAGAAGATAAAACACAGGCCTATCTAATAAATCGAATTTTCCTTCAAACTTCTGAAACAACATTCTTCTTATCGTGTTTGTTCTAGTCCCAGCTCTCTGAACCCTTGAAAACAGCCCCTTCTGCTAACCTCAAGTTGGCTCTGTCTCCACCTCTGGTCACACAGCAGCACCTATTCATTTAAAATTCAAATATACCCACATCCATTTAACCTCTTCTTCTGGATTTGAGTAGTTTGCCCTTAAGTTTGGTTTCTTTTCTTAATGTTAGTTTTTGTTACACAAATAGTGCATAAATACATGTTGTTGGGTGCTGCTGAGTCGATTCTGACTCACAGCAACCCTGTGTGATAGAGTAAAACTGCCTTGTAGTGTTTTCTAGGGTTGCTATGAGTCTGAATCGACTTGACAGTAATCGATTGTTTTTTTTTTTGGTCATCTTTATGGGAGCAGATTGCCAGGTCTTTCTCACTTGAAGCCACTGGATGAGTTCAAACCACCAATGTTTTGGTTAGCAGCCAAGTGTTTAACTGTTGGGCCACCAGAGCCCCTTGTCTTGATAAAAAAGAAAACGTGAATACATACACCTTAATAAAAAAGTAATCAAAAGATGCATTGCGTTGGGCAAATCTGCTACCAAAGAACTCTTTAAAGTGTTAAAAAGCAAAGATGTCACCGTGAAGACCAAGGCTTGCCTGACCCAAGCCATGGTGTTTTCAATCGCCTCATATACATGTGAAAGCTGGACAATGAATAAGGAAGAAGGAAGATAACTGATGTCTTTGAATGATGGTTTTGGCGGAGAATATTGACTATACTGGGGACTGCCAGAAGAACGAGCACAGCTTTCTTGGTAGAAGTATAGCCAGAATGCTCATTAGAAGCAAGGAAGGCAAGACTTTGTCTCACATACTTTGGACATGTTACCAGGAGGGATCAGTCGCTGGAGAAGTACATCATGCTTGGTAAAGTAGAGGGTCAGTGAAAAAGAGGAAGACCCTCAACGAGATGGATTGACACAGAGTTGCAACAATGGGCTCAAGCATAGCAGTGATTGTGAGGATGGCACAGGACTGGGCAGTATTTTGTTCTGTTGTACATAGGGTTGCTATGAGTCGGAAACGACTCGACGGCACCTAACAACAACAACGAAATAGAAAAGAAATCCTGGCCTTATCTGTAAAGTCCCCTTTTACTTCCACCCTGAAGCCTGACATTTTTCCCATTGGCCTGTAGGAGACCTTGTCATCAGTTTGTCCTTCACCTTTTTTTATGCTTTTACATACACACGTATCTGTAGAAAATAGAGTTACTTTTTAGATGCCCTAATCAAAACATGAAAGATATCATACTGTACATACTAATCTGCAACTTACTTTTAAAAACTATGAACACCTGAGTATATGCCTCTTCTGGTATATGGTTGAGATTTTATAGATTGGAACGGTTATGTCATAAGATATGATTTAACTTTTAAAAGATATTGACAAATTGTCCTCCATTGGAGCTATACCAAATTACAAGCTCACCAGCAGGAAATGCTTATCACTTCCTCAAGCCTTGCCAACACTTTATCAATTAATTAATATTTGTTCATCTGATGGAACTATGGAATCACAGTGTTGTAATCTGTAGTTCCTTGGATTATAGTAAAACTTTTTTCCTTTTTTTTATTGTCATATGTATTTCTAGTTCTCTAACGTGGTCATGGATTTTGTCCATTTTTCTCCTGAGTTGTTTTAATGACTGGTAAGAGTTCCTTTGTCACCTGTCTTACTTTGCTTATTTGTTCCTTTTTATAGAAAGGTTTTGATTTTGATACTGTTAAATTTGTAAATCTTTTTCTTTGTGGATTTTTCTTTTGATATCAGAGGAACTGTCCCTACCTTATGATCACAAACATTCTTATATTTTCACTAATATTTCTATAGCTTTGTGTTTAATATTGTGTTTAAATTCCAGATGAATTAGTTTTAGTGGATGGTGTGAGGTAGAGCTCTGTTATTTTCAATTGTTAATCAGTTATCGTAGCTCTGCTTTGGCTAGCCCACTGTTTGAAAATACCACCTTTGTCGTACTAAATTTTCATATATACATGGGTCTGTTTCTAAACTCCAGTTCATCAGTACCTTCAGTACACAGAGTTTTAATTGATATCTTCTTCTACATTCTACAGGGCCTCTAGTCCCATTTGACATACCTTCCGTCTGCAACTGTTGAATCTCATCTTTATTTCAAGTACCCACTCTCCAGGTTTGGACATAAATCCCTCTAGCCATGAACACAGCTGGGGAGCAGGGAGTATGAATGGTGGAAAGATTGTGTTCACATCTTCATAACACTCCACATATCCTTACTCTCCTTTGGCCTCTACACCTAAGAGCAATCCAGCTAGACACCAGTTGTCTAAGTACTATTTATTGTAAAAGAGCAGAGAAGACGGAGGACAATGCCTCCTAGGGACAGGATGGAACAAAACAAGCAGCGCAACTCTGCCTCCTGCTCAGCATATCCTCTTGTTGCCCCACTGGACCATCTTGTTGTTGATAGGCATCTTTAAGAAGTGGTCAGACTACATGTATGCAGCTATTTTCTCCAGAGTCTGAAGGGAAAGCACACCAAACCTTATAAAGACCTGAACCCAGTCTAACAGAACCAGACCAAACACACAACATTCACATGCTGCCTGCCTCCACTTACCCCCATTTCTGGTAGACAGAGCTTTTGGGGTGGAAGGAGCCAGGCCTTTACCAAGACTTAAAGGCTTAGAGGTGTCCCACCATGGTTCCCTTTAGGCAAAAGCTGGTATTGGGCAACAATCTACCACTATGGGGTCCCTCAGGGCCCAGGGGAACTCGTGAGTTTTTTTGTAAGAGAAAGGTGCGGGGAGCCTCACCTTAAAACAACACATGAAAGCCTTCAGAATCGGGAAGCCATCCAGGCACTTGGGCTCAAACATGCGGTTCTGATCTAAGACATCATAGGTGAGAAAGTCCACAAAGGTGAGCTAGAAGAAGGACAATAAGATGATCAGGTCTGGAGAGTTCATGAACACCTGCAGAGACAGATAGATGTCCTCTCTTTTCCTTCTTCCCACCTTTCCCCTGCAAACCAGGACAATTTCCCAGGAATAAGGAGAATTGTTTCTGTTGTCCAGGTAGCTGTTCCAAGTACTCAGGGTTCAACTTTTCTTGGGACAGAGTGAAGAGGAAAAAGAGAGACCGGGAGAGATAGAAAGGAAGAGGAAGAGGAGGGGAAGGGAAATGAGAACTAATAGAAGAGCTGTCATCATCTTCATAGCCAATTGTGGCAGGAGCCAGTGATGGACCATTAACAGCCCCTTCTCATGGTGCCTTCCACTGACTGCCTTCAGGTGTGGGTGGCAGGATGGGACATGGGGGTTTGAAAAGGGGGAGGGACCACTATCAGAGTTACAACACTAAACAAACCAAAAATCAAGAGTTCTGTTTCCTATTCTCACTGACAGACTGGGTTGCTAGCACCAGCAGAGTAAAGCGTAGATAACCCGTCTGTCCCTAAATGTTACTTTTCCTGATCTCCTGTACACTTGATGGGGTAGTCCAGCAATTTGGAATGTTTTGGAAACAACCAAAAACCAAACCTGTGGCCATCAACTTGATTCCGACTCATAGCAATCCTATAGGACAGAGTAGAACTGCCCTATAGAGTTTCCAAGGCTGTCATCTTTATGGAAGCTGACCTGCAGATCGACTGGTGGGTTCAAACTGGCAACCTTTCAGTTAGAAGCTGAGTGCTTTAACCACTTTGCCACCAGGGCTCCTTTTTGGAAACAAAGGTATTTCTAATCTCACAAAAATCCTAGAAAAGTGGATAATAAAATAAAAACCCCAAATTTTTTTTAGCTGCTTTGCTGTTACCTAAGGAAAGAGCTGTGATAGAATAGAACATCATTCAGTGTGCAAAGACTCAGAATATCTCAGTAATGCTTTAGCTGACTGCTATGTTTACAAGCTGCTTTAACCAACATAATTGCTCCTGTAATCACACAGGAAGGAGAGGCCTTTGAGGAATTCAAAGGGCCTATTGTTAACTGTCAGAAACAAATTCTGTAAAAATTCTGAAGTGGTAAATATTAGGATGCTCCTTGCATAAGGTAATATTGGGTGCTGTCAGGATGGTTGATGCATAATGTCAAATAATTATAAATGGTATTTTGCAGAAAATTCTTCATAGTATTACTTATAATAGGAGAGCTATACTGGCAACAATATTACACCAACATTGGTGGGGTAATTTTATAGTAATTGGCAAAAAGTGAAAGCAACTCAAATGTGTATCAAACTGTACTCAATATAACAACATGTGGTAGATCCACACAGCAGAATATTATTATTTAGCCATAAAAAGGAATGAAGTACTGATATTTGCTACAACATGAAATTTGAAAATGTGAAAAAGACAGTCACAAGAGGCCACATATCATATGATTCCACTTACATGAAATGTCCTGAATTAGCAAATCCATACAGACAGAAAGTAGATTAGTGGTTGCCTCAGGTCATCATTCAAAAAGAACAAGGCCTGATTAGCTATGAAGATGATGGCAGCACTTCTATTACTTTTCTCCTTCCTCTTCCCCGTCTTAGTTTAAAATCAAAAGAGGCACGTAGAAGGGTTATAGCCTTTCACCTTACTTATTCAACCTGTATACTGAACAAAAAATAACAAGAATTGGACTATATGAGGGAGGATGTGACATCAGGATTGGAGGAAGACTCATTAACATCCTATGATATGCAGATGACACAACCTTGCTTTACCAAAAGTGAAGACAACTTGAAGCACTTACTTATGAAGGTCAAAGTCTATAGCCTTCAATATAGATTACACCTAAACATATAGAAAACAAAAATCCTTGAAACTGATCTAATGACATCATAGTAAATGGTGAAGAAATTGAAGTTTTCAAGGATTTCATTCTTCTTGAATCAGTAATCAATGCCCATGGAAGCAGCAGTCAGGAAATCAAATGACATATTGCATTGAGAAAAATCTACTGCAAAAGATGTATTTAAAGTGTTAAAAAGCAAAGATGCCACTTTGATGACTAAGGTACATGTGACCCAAGCCATGCTCTTTTCAGTCACCTTATATGCATGCAAAAGCTGGTATCTTAGTTATTTAGTGCTCCTATAACAGAAACACCACAAGTGGATGGCTTTAACAAACAGAAGTTTATCTTCTTAGTTTAGGAGTCTAGAAGTCCAAATTCAGGGTGCCAGCTTTAGGGGAAGGCTCTTTCTCTCTCTGTCGGTTCTGGGGGAAGGTCTTTGTTATTAATCTTCCCCCGGTCTAGGAGCTTCTCAGTGCAGGAACCCAAGGACCAAAGGACAGGGTCTCCTCCTGGCACTATTTCCTTGGTGGTATGTGGTCCCTCTCTTCTCTGCTCAATTCTCTTTTGTATCTCAAAAGAGATTGACTCAAGATACAACCTAATTCTGTAGATTGAGTCTTGCCTCATTCATATAACTGTCTCTAATCCTGCCTCATTAACATCATAGAGGTGAGGATTTACAACATATAGGACAATCACATCAAGATCACAAAATGGTGGACAACCACACAGTATTGAGAACCACGGCCTAGCCAAGTTGATACAAATACTGTGGGGACGCAACCCAATCCATAACAGCTGAACAATAAAAAAGGAAGATTGAGGAAGATATGATGCATTTCAATTGTTGGTGAAAAATATTGAATATACTGTGGACTACCCAGAAGAAGAAAATAAAAGAGTTTTGGTTGAAGTACAGCCAGAATGCTCTTTAGAAGTGACAATGGTGAGAGTTCATCTTGTTTATTTTTGACACGTCATCAGCAAAGAACAATTTCTAGAAAAGGACATCATGCTTAGTTAAGTACAGGGCCAATGAAAGTGAAGGTCAGTGAAAACCTCCATGAGACAGATTGGCACAATAGCTGCAACAATAGGCTCAAACATACCAGTGATTGAGAAGATGGTGCAGGCACAGGCAAAGTTTCTTTATGCTATACTTAAGGTCGCCATGAGTCAACAGCCAACTGGATGGCAACTAACAACAGCAGGGCAGGGAGGGTGGTGGGAAGATTGAAAGATTGAGAGCAATGCCTGAAAGGTATGGGGGGACTAAAAGAATGTTCTTTTGGATGTGAATTTTAAAAATTGAGGTGATGGCATATCTAAATTAGATGACTTCGGTACTAAATTAAAAACTCCATTCTTAATTAAACTAAGATTTTCATTTCTACTCTTCTGAAGACACCAATCTGCTTTTTTTGTCAAAATTTTATTACTTGAAAAACAAAGAAGGCAGGAGTCAGAATTTCTAACCTAGACAAAGAATTTCTCAGTGCCTGTTAAGAATGTTTACACAGCTGGCCCCAGAAAATCACCTTGTTCAAGTAGAGGTTAAAAGATAGAACTGATACGTTAAATGAAGTTAGAACCTGTAAATAACTTTATAGCCAAGATAAGTATATATCAAGTCTTAGCTCTACATCCTGACTCCCAAATTAAACTTTTGCTCACTGATACTTTTCCCACTGTATTTCTGCTAGTTCTTTGTCAATTTAAAACTAAATAGAGACTGAATTTGTTAAAATAAGGAGGTAGATTGCAGCTGTCTGTAACACTAAGAGTGCAGAGATTTGAGCTTTAACTTATATAAATAAATTGGCTATCTGAACCACTTTCAGGGAATTCACCCAGTGAATGCCTTGTCCCAAACTCACTCCCTGTTAGCCTGATGAGTGACATTTCCATTTCGAAAAGCTTCAGATTTAGAGCTGAGTTAATCTTCACTGTTTCTGAACTAAATGGTTGACTTTACATTTCAAGGGCTCCAACTAGATATGAGGAAGCCTACAATCCATCACTAAACTCCCACATTAAGAATTTTTATATATCTCACTTTAGAAGTATTGCCTTAATCAATTTGTATGAAAAAGAAAAGATTTGTGTTGGGCTATAAATTGATGTTTAGAAAGTTTGTAGTCTAACAACTCCTTGTAAATTTCTCCTTCCTTCCTCTGCAACTTCCTTGATGGGAAAACCATTTGCCTTTGTTTACTCTGCCTGTTAAATACCCTGCTGTTCTTCCTGCAAAGCAGAACACATTCTGTAGTCTGTTTGAATGCCGCGTGTTTCTCCATTTCACAAATGAAATTATTCCTTCAATAAAATTTTTGTTTTAATTTTTATTGTAATGTTGGTCTAGTGCCTTCATTAGGACATTTCTTGGTGACCATGAAGGAACATGAAGGATTTTACCTCTACAGCATCTGGGGCAGTGAGCAAAGGCCCTTCAGGCCTGTCTCCTTTTTGCCAGATCCCAGGAATTATGGCAGATAAACACCTCTTGGGTCTGAGCCCTGCTTACTTTGCATAGAGGCTCCCCGAACTTTTTTTGAAGGATTTGTCTTCCTCTTTTCTCTTTGTCTTTTTAAAAAGAATGTAAGTTCCTTTATTTTAAGTACCTTATGGTCATTGCTTAGGGACCTTAGAACTGTGAGGAGCCACATTTCTAAGCTCTGTGGCACTCCTTTGTCAGGGACATTACCCGGTTCTGAGAAGCTGAGA